GTTGGCTTTTGGCATTAGGTTCTCCAAGGTTTTTCAGAGGTACGAGGGTTGTGGTTGTTACTAGATGTCTCAAGGTACCTGAGAGGGCTTGGGGATGGTTGAGGGGCACAATTAAGAGAATGGAAAGGGTATGCCAGATAAGAAATGTGGGTAAGTGATTTATTGTTCTTCTAGGCACGTAGGTATCTGAAAAGGAACACGACTGAATAATCAGAGGAATCTAATGTTTCCTCCTTGCACTCTTTTTCCTACACACCTGGTTGAGGAAGTCTTTTCTGCCGAAATTAGAGCAAAGCCTTCTTGCATACATAGCAAAACTTTGTTTTAGGCCAGTTGAAACCCAGGCCTCATTCATAGCATGCCCCCATTCTTTGCAGCCAAGGCCTAACCTCATCCTCACAGTTCTGCCAATTCCACAAATGTTTATCAAATGCCTGTTAAATGGCAAGTATACTCCTCTGCATACATGCCTAATACAATTTTTAAAATGTGTACAAAGGTCTTACTTCTGAAGGCTGAATAAAATTCTTACATGTTACTAGATGGGCTCCGTTGAGATCTAAACAGTTTTACAAAATCCTATTTATATGTAAGCAGTTTATTGATCACTTACACTGTTGGATGAATGTAAACAGTTTGATTTTTTTTTTTTTTTGTTGTTCAGCTTCTGTTTCCAACCATTCTCTGTAAAATTTCTATTTCCTGCCTCTTACTCCCATTTTGGGCAGATCCCATAATGTTTCCTTCTCTTTCAATTATTACAAGTTGAGATTTCCCTCTCCCAACTCTCTCTGCTGGCCTTGTCAATGGCTAGATTTGTAGCCTGCAAGAGAGGAAAACCAGTGGGAATAATGGCTTGTTCTTTTGATTTTCTTCCTATGCCAGCTATTTGTATTGGGGGCAGGGATGAGAAATGTGAGGTCTACTATTTATCTATCTTCCTCTCCTACTTAAGCAGCTTTTGAAAGTGTGATTGAGGGAAGTGGTAGACTGGCTTTGAAATTTCTCCGCTGCGTCATGACATACTTCCTGGAGGTGTTGAGGTAAGTAAGGAGATGGACAGAGAAAATGGTCTGTTAATTCAATTAGCAACCTTGTTTGCAGTCTCCTAGGAGTGGTTACCATGGCTTCTCTGGCTGTCATTGACAAGTTCTGTGTGGGGCAGGCCTAAATGTCAGCTCTGGCACATGCATGGGTTTTTGTGGAGGGCCCCACAAAGCCTCCCAGAGAGCCCTTTGACATGGGCATGCAGAGTTGCTTGCCCCTGTCCCCTTCTCCCACCCCACCTCCAGGAGACACATGCAATCTCTTGCTGCTAGACACCTTTGCAGACTGCCTTTGGGTGGACAACCTGCAAGTTATCTCAAGCCAACACACTCTGCAGAGCCCATTCGATCCCAAGAAACTCATATGTTCTCGTGATAGCCTCTACCCTTTGTTCTGACCACCACCTCTTCACCTTGTTGGTGAAAGAAAGATCCTAACCCTTCATAGTACAAGATGGCCAAACTCAACATTTGGCACTGGGCAGATGAGACTGGCAGTTTATTAGTCATACAGATTCACAGCCTGGGGAAGAAGAACATCACATGCCCTGCAGGACCACATGAAGTTGTACCCAGGAACAGAGTAAACCAGAAGGGGCTATGGGAGGAAGGCTTTGTATTTGCAAGGGGGTGAGGTGACTGTTGATTCCCATAGGAAGATATGATTGCCCTGTTTGAATAATTTTAAACCTGGCAGAAGAGTTAAGTTGGGGACTATGGAGGGTGTAGCCAATCCAGCTAATAGAGGAATGAGCTGGATGGGGAACCTTTCCTGCTGGGTGGGAGATGTATTTGGCAAGAGCCAGGGACTCGGGGTTGAGCCTTTGGGGCTTGTGAGGCTCAAAGACATCAAGACATCACATGGAATTTCAGGCCCTAAGGTACACCTGGATATCTTTCCTTGACTCACTTTCTACTTGCCTTTTGAGTCCAGGATAAGATCATTGAGTTTGCTGCCCAGGAAGTCATCTATCAAGGAAGTGAGATGCCAGTAAGCTTTTTGCAGCCTTGCCCCTTTCTGTAAGTAATGTTTCTTTTTAGGGAAATGAAAGGATGGAGTGGGTAGAAATCTCCTATGACCACAATTTCACCTCTAATTTCACCTCTTATTTCATTGCGGGGAGGGACTAGAAGGAAGATGATATGGTTTGGCTGTGTCACTACCCAAATCTCACCTTGAATTATAGCTCCCATAATTCCTATGTATTGTGGGAGAGACCTAGTGGGAGATAATTGAATCAAAGGGGCAGTTTCCCCCATACTGTTCCCGTGGTAGTGAATAAGTCTCATGAGATCTCATGAGATCTGATGGTTTTATAAGGGGTTTCCCCTTTTGCTTGGCTCGTATTCTCTCTTATCTGCTACCATGTAAGACGTGCCTTTTGCCTTCCACCATGATTGTGAGGCCTCCCCAGCCACGTGGAACTGCGAGTCCATTAAATCTCTTTTTCTTTATAAATTACCCAGTCTCAGGTATGTCTTTATCAGCAGGGTGAAAATGGACTAATACAGAAAACAAGCCTGTGGTTTTGATTGAGAGTAGTAATAAGGCTGGCTCTGGTGTTCTTTAACGAAGTCTGAAGGAGGTGTCAGGCCCTAAATGTTAGTGACCATCTTTAAAGTGGGTCTTCTTTTCAGATAGGGCTTTCATTCTGAGATAACAAGAAGAACCTAACTGAGTATTCTGTCACACATGTTCCTTGAAGGTCTGGCCTCCTGGCAAGACACCTCCAAAGGCAACTGGGCCCTGGAGGGGAGGGGCCCCTGGTCCTGAGGAGCTTCCAAACTTCCTTTGTCATCTTAAGGTTTAAGGTATCACAGCGTTTTTTGTTTTTTTTTTTTTTTTTGAATTTTCCATGTGTCTTTTTTTAAAATTTTTTTTATTTTTTATTATTATACTTTAAGTTCTAGGGTACATGTGCATAACGTGCAGGTTTGTTACATATGTATACTTGTGCCATGTTGCTGTGCTGCACCCATCAACTCGTCAGCACCCATCAACTCGTCATTTACATCAGGTATAACTCCCAGTGCAATCCCTCCCCTCTCCCCGCTCCCCATGATAGGCCCCGGTGTGTGATGTTCACCTTCCCGAGTCCAAGTGATCTCATTGTTCAGTTCCCACCTATGAGTGAGAACATGCGGTGTTTGGTTTTCTGTTCTTGTGATAGTTTGCTAAGAATGATGGTTTCCAGCTGCATCCATGTCCCTACAAAGGACACAAACTCATCCTTTTTTATGGCTGCATAGTATTCCATGGTGTATATGTGCCACATTTTCTTAATCCAGTCTGTCACTGATGGACATTTGGGTTGATTCCAAGTCTTTGCTATTGTGAATAGTGCCGCAATAAACATACGTGTGCATGCGTCTTTATAGCAGCATGATTTATAATCCTTTGGGTATATACCCAGTAATGGGATGGCTGGGTCTTTGACAAACCTGAGAGAAACAAGAAATGGGGAAGGGATTCCCTATTTAATAAATGGTGCTGGGAAAATTGGCTAGCCATAAGTAGAAAGCTGAAACTGGATCCTTTCCTTACTCCTTATACGAAAATTAATTCAAGATGGATTAGAGACTTAAATTTTAGACCTAACACCATAAAAACCCTAGAGGAAAACCTAGGTAGTACCATTCAGGACATAGGCATGGGCAAAGACTTCATGTCTAAAACACCAAAAGCAACGGCAGCAAAAGCCAAAATTGACAAATGGGATCTAATTAAACTAAAGAGCTTCTGCACAGCAAAAGAAACTACCATCAGAGTGAACAGGCAACTTACAGAATGGGAGAAAATTTTTGCAATCTACTCATCTGACAAAGGGCTAATATCCAGAACCTACAAAGAACTCAAACAAATTTACAAAAAAAAAACAAACAACCCCATCAAAAAGTGGGCAAAGGATATGAACAGACACTTCTCAAAAGAAGACATTCATACAGCCAACAGACACATGAAACAATGCTCATCATCACTGGCCATCAGAGAAATGCAAATCAAAACCACAATGAGATACCATCTCACACCAGTTAGAATGGCGATCATTAAAAAGTCAGGAAACAACAAGTGCTGGAGAGGATGTGGAGAAATAGGAACACTTGTATACTGTTGGTGGGATTGTAAACTAGTTCAACCATTATGGAAAACAGTATGGCGATTCCTCAAGGATCTAGAATCAGGCTTTTTATTGCTGGTGGTTGGTATTTTCATGTCTGTTATCTCATCTAGTCACTGTCTTCATTGCAGAAGAAATAGGAATGGGGAAATTAGGAGGTCAGAAACTTGAGGTTTTGGTCTCCAGCAACAAAGGAAACTAAGCTTTTGTTCCATTATAATTCAAAATGTAAAATTGTGGGATGATTTTCTAGTCTCATAATAAATTTGTTTGTCATGTTGCCAAAAGTAATATTAGAAGATGTCCTAATTCTTAATTGTATATGGCACATCGCTCTGTATTTAAAAACTTGTTTCTCTTTAAATGCATTTCAAAGGTTACATCCTCATATGAGTAAGAATGATTTTCTTGGTAACTCTACTCCTTTTTGTGAAAGTCTTGACTGTTTCTGGTTCTGTGTTGCTAAGGGATTCATCAGTGCAAATAACTAAGTTAACACCGGGACTGAGAGAGGTCTTAAAGCAACTGAGAAGTTGGCTTATAGAAAGGCCAGCAAAAGAGGAAGAACAGGCAGACCCGAGTGACTCTGCCACAGTGGTCGAGCTTATGGCTCTGTTTGTATTTAGGGGAGGGCCCATTGCAAAGGACACAGAAAAAAGATAGCAGGTGCTTTGGTTTGAATGTTTGTGTCCCCTTGAAAATTCATGTTGAAACTTAAACCCCAAAGTGATATCATTAAGAAGCGGGACCTTTAGAAGGTGATTAAGTCATGAAGGCAGAGCCCTTATGTATTTGACTGTTCTTGCATTGCTATAAAGAAACACCAGAGACTGAGTAATTTATAAAGAAAACACATTTAATTAGCTCATGGTTCTGCACATGGTACAGGAAGCATAACACGGACATCTGTTTCCGGGTAGGCCTCAGGAAGCTTACAATCATGGTGGGAGGTCACGGGGAAGCAGGTGTCTCACATGGTGGGAGCAGGAGCAAGAGAGTGAGGTGGGAGATGCCATACGCTTTTAAAGTACCAGATCTTGTGAGAACTCACTATCTCAAGCACAGTGCTAAGAGGATGGTACTAAACCATTCATGAGAAACCCATCCCCATGATCCAGTCATCACCCACCAGGCCCTCCAACACCGGGGATTACATTTCAATGTGAGATTTGGGTGGGACATCCAAACCATATAACCTTATAAATGGGTTAGTGACCTTATAAAAGGGTTGGGAGTAACTAGATAGGTCCATTTTTGCCCTTCCATTGCTTCCCATGTGAGAGGCAGCATTCATCCCATCTGCAAAATGCAGCAACAAGGTGCCATCTTGGAAGTAGATACTGGGCCCTCACCAAACACTAAACCTGTTAGTGCCTTGGTCATGAACTTCCCAGATGCCAGGACTGTGGGCTCAAAATTTCTGTTGTTTATAAATTACCCACTCTTTGGTCTTTTGTTAAAGCAGCTTGAACAAACAATGACAGCAGATGTGTCTAGTTCATTAAGACACACCAAAAAGTCCAAGCATGGTCCTTGTATATAGTAGGTACTCAACCACTAAGTGAGGATTTACTGAACACCTACTCTCCAAGTGCTGTTCCATGCAGGGGGCATCATAATGAGGAAAGCAGTTCCTGATCCCAATATTCCTGTGATCCAGTGATAGAAACTAGCAAGGAAAGCACAATGAAAAAAATGTTAGACTAATGTAATTTCCCACAAATAACTTTAGGAACACTTAAGAAAGAACAACTAACTGCCTGGGTGGGAGTGAGGTAAATGATACTGCAGAAAACAGTGTGAAGTAGGATTTGTCACCGGATACCAGCCTGTGCAAAACAAATGGGTAAGGGGATTAAAAAATGCTTTTGATAACAAGTGAGGCAGAATTAAAAACATTATATTCACGAAAAGGTTCTGATGGGTGCTGAGTGAGAAAGTGAATTCAGCACTTCTGACTCTGGGATCTCTATTCTATCTACCATGTAAGACAACGTCGTATTATCAAGAAGAAATTAGAAGCACACGTGTTTGTTTTAAAAAAATTGGACACATAGTTGAACTACTGTGGGTAACAGAATTAGAGACAAAGATATTTCGCCTTCAAGGTTTATGACTCATATTTTCTGCCAGCTCTTTGTGGGCTCCGCTGTGGCATTTAACTTTCGGTTGTACGAGTGGCCTGTGGTATGTCTGCTTTTGCAGCATTTAGATGTAGAGAGGATACTGGAGAAATCTTTGTCTTTGATTCCTGAACTAATGAAGGAGAATGGCTGTGTGCAGAAGTAGAAAGGGGAGTAATGGGCAGTGTGAGGTGGCCACTGCCACCGGAGTAGGATAGAGCAGGTTTGATCACCACCCACCTTCCATCATTGTACTTTCCTGCTCAGAGCAGCCCTCTCTGTCTTACCTCTTCCCTTCTACACACAAAAAGACAGGTCTGAGGATGTACAAGTAGTTGCTAGTCCAGAGGGAATGGAGAAGGGCAGGTTTTAATTAAGAGTTGGCAGTATAGGTGGCCTTGATGGCAGTGGGAGGGGTTCTTTCATACTGCCAGGAGAGACACTCTCATTCTGGAGGGAAGCTGCCACACTGTTGTTGGGTATAGAGGTTTAGATCTGTAGTGGGCTGACCCTGAGAGCACTATCAAGAAAGACCTCATAGCATGTCCAAGACTCTTGATCCCAATCATTGAGTCCCCAACAGCTTCTGTGGGAAGCCTTATTTCTGTGATGTAGAAATTGCAAAGACACAGGACAGGAATTAGGAAGAACTGGTTAGACCTTGAAAGAACTATGGTCTCCCCAACCTAGAGTTCAGAAATCTGTAAAGATATTCTTTACACTAGATGAGCTCCTTGGGATGTTATCGACTCCTTCTCAGTGGAGGGAAAAGAAAAAAAATGACTCTTTAGAAAAAAAGAGAAATGGCATTAGGGGATGAGCAGCAAAGTATTCTTGACAAAAAATATTTTAGTAGAAGGAGGCACTCAACAAAAGTCTTAAACCCTCCCTACCATCACCCATCACCCAAGATAATCATATAGAAGGTATGTACAGGCATGAAACCAAAAAAACTCCCACAAAGCCCTGGGAAAAAGGATATTTTTCTCAAAGGAGTCTACTAAGGAAAAAAATACATTTTTTTCTTGTTAGCCTTTTTTGGTGAATTGAGTGATTTAACAATTATACTTCTGAACTACTCCTGCCTGCTGGGACTGTTTGTTTTGTTCTATTTTCATTTCTTTATGCTACCAGGAGGTGCCATGGTATGTGCAAATGAGGAATGCTTTTATGGTTCTCATTCTAACAGGGCACAGATCTTCTTGACCAACTCAATTTTTCTTCATAATGATTAGAGAGAAGTTGATCCCATGGAGAGAACCAGCAGCCAGAGAGGACTGAATTAGGACATTTAGATTAGAAAGGTGAGAGTTAAGTATGATCTGTGGCCATGTGGCCAGCATCTGATGACTACACTGGATAAAAGCAAAGGTTTTAGCATAAACTGAATAACAAAGACTAAATTTTCAAGGACTAAACCAGTGTTTTCCAACTTTCCTATTTTTTAAATTTAATACACTCATTTCACTTTTCCCTGACAATTCTGATACTATTTTCTTTCAGGGGAATCCATCATTATTGCCTATCCTTACCTTGCTGAGATGATTTTGTAGTTTTATTTTCCGTAGATTGCATTACAAAAATGATACACGTTGCTTTTTATTTTTTAAACACAGTATAATCACATTTAATATACTTTTAAGAAGTCTGTTTCTTCATCCTAGAAATTCGGATATTGTTTCCTAAAAGTCATGCCCATTCTCCTTGACCTCTCACGTCCGTGGTTGAAAATGCCCGGACAAAACTTCGAAATATATGGAAACAAAGACTAAAATGTTGTAATAAATATACTAAAGCAAGACATGCACATCCCGTTGCAGCATAGACTGCATGGGACAGAGTCGTAAGGTTGTTTAATGTAAGTGAGGACACACATTGCTATGAATAAATGTTTATTTATGTAGAGGAATAATGCATTAAGAAATGTTTCTGCCCATGCCCCTGCATAGGGCATCCTTGACCTCCTTGTTCCTTAGGCTGTAAACAACAGGGTTCAGCAGGGGAGCGATGATGGTGTAGGTCACTGACAGAAGGAGGTCTTGTTCTGTAGAGTTTTCTGACTTGGGCTTGAGGTAGGCAATGGAGGCACAGCCATAATGGACAATGACCACAGTGAGGTGGGAAGCACAGGTGACAAACGTCTTCTTCCAGCCCTCAGTTGAGGCAATCTTGAGGATAGTGGAGATGATGAGGACATAGGAGATGAAGACCAGACCCATGGGGACCAGGATGACAAATAAACTGACAACAAAATTGATTATCTCATTGACAGTGGTATTAATACAGGAGAGTTTCATGGCAGGGAGGATGTCACAGAAGAAATGACCAACCACCCTGAGACCAAAAGGTCAGGTAAATATGGATGTTACCTGGACAGCTACCATGGTCAGCCCAATGCTAAAGGCTCCACACACCAGCTGGACACACACCCTCGTGCTCATGATGACCATGTATCTCGGGGAGTTGCAGATGGCCACATAGCGGTCATAGCCCATCACTGTGAGCAAGAAGTAATTGTTGATGGCCAAGGTAACAAAGAAGAACAGTTGGGTAGTACAACCTGCTAGAGAGATTGGCTGGGTCTGGGCTACCAGGCTCGAGAGCATCTGTGGAATGATGACCAGTGTGTACACTCTCTCAGAGCTAGCCAACGTGCTCAGGAAGAAGTACATGGGAGTGTGGAGGTGACGGTCAAAGTGGATGATGGTCACGATGATGGCATTGCCAGCCACGGTTAATGTGTACATGATGAGAAAAACCACAAAGAGAGTGATCTGATGTTTGTAGAATCTGGAGAATCCCAGGAAAACAAACTCTGCTACTTCTGTGAAATTCTTTCTTTGCATTCTTTAATTGCAATGTCTGAAAGCAATGCAAGAAGTCAACGTCAAGAAATTCTTATCACGATATGAATTCTAGAACAAGGATAGAGCAATGACTGTAGAAAACGCTAAGAAAAAAAGTCAATTTCTCTGCTTTGTAATCAGAAGCGTTCTAGCTCATGCTATATAGCTACTTCACCATCTTCTCCCTTTTCTGTTTGTGCTGTCTTCTTAATCTTCTAGCACTGCTGATACTGTTAAGCCTCTGGCCAAGGAATTGCCAATATGTGACACCACAGCCCATATCTTTTCAAAGTGCCACCACAAATATGCTCTTTCGTAGCACATGGAGGAAGGCATTTTCCTTTACAATATGCATGGCACAGGGGTCCCATCCAATGCCATCCTGTGAAAGTCCACACAGCTTAGACAACAAAATGGGGGTGAGAGAGTTGGACTTACTGAATTAGAACCATTGGTGGATAGCTTCTGGTGACAGTGTAGGGGAACAGAATCAAGGTCAGTGAGAGCTGACCTTTGGGAACACTTCAGTGGGAGCGAAGATGAGGTATTCTGGGCCCAGCCTAGATGGTCTAGGGGAGGCAAACCATTGGCAAAATTGATTTATTGTGAAGGTATTAACAGGGGCTTAAGGTTTGGAGATGTGTAAACTAGAGGGAGAAGTGGAAGCTGTTGGAAAAAGAGAGAAGAGAACCAGCAACACAACAGAAAGTTGGACCTCGAATTAAAAAAAAAAATAGCTGATTTATTTTTGACGGAGGGAATTCTAAGAATAAAGAGGTGTACTATTTGATTTAAATTGTTTGCTAAACTATATTGTAATGTAAACTCCCTTGAGAGCCTCAAGAGCCTATGTTTAAAGCTTTTATGTGTATAATTTTCAGTTAGTGGTAGTTAGGAAGTAAAGAGAAGTGGATGATGGCACAGTGCAGAAAAAGGTATCATGTGCAAGGAGTAAAATCCAGACTGAGGAAGAAAAACTACTAGCCTGTAATGACTAGAAGAAATACAAGGCCCTCTCCTGCCCTCCCTTCCCCCTTACAAGCACAAACCACTAGCCTGTAATGACTAGAAGAAATACAAGGCCCTCTCCTGCCCTCCCATTCCCCTTACAAGCACAAACCACTAGCCTGTGATGACTAGAAGAAATACAAGGCCTTCCCCTGCCCTCCTACCCCGTTACAGGCACACACAATATTTGCTAGAAATTTGGTGAGTGGGTCTGGGATTTCCATCATGTATCAAATGATGATTTGAACCATTTTGCTTAAATAACAAATAACACTAACAGGCTGGGGGATTTTGGCACACTTAGGAAACTGCCACTAGGAATCTAGGAAACACTGTGGGTGTTTTAGAAAATAGTCCATCATGGAAAATGAGGCAAATATTTCGAGTAGAAATGAGTGTGTCACTAAAATTAAAGGAATTTGCCTTAAAAGACCACTGAGATACGAGTTGGATAGGCAAAGATGAAAGAGAGTGACAGTGCAACTCCAAGCAGCCTTTTAGAAAGGATAGGATGGAGCTATCGCTATGTAAATTTAAATTGACTAAAATAAAAGAGAATTAAAAATTCAGTTAGTCGGTCGGGCGCGGTGGCTCAAGCCTGTAATCCCAGCACTTTGGGAGGCCGAGACGGGCGGATTACGAGGTCAGGAGATCGAGACCATCCTCGCTAACCCGGTGAAACCCTGTCTCTACTAAAAAGTACAAAAAAATAGCTGGGCAAGGTGGCGGGCGCCGGTAGTCCCAGCTACTCGGGAGGCTGAGGCAGGAGAATGGCGTGAACCCGGGAGGCAGAGCTCGCAGTGAGCTGAGATCCGGCCACTGCACTCCAACCTGGGTGACAGAGCGAGATGCCGTCTCAAAAAAAAAAAAAAAAAAAAAAAAAAAAAAATTCAGTTAGTCACACTAGCCACATTTCAAGTGATAAAAAGCTACATGTGACTAGTGGCTACCACATTGGACAGCTCAGCTGTCAAACATTTTCTTTTGTTGGTAAAAGTTATGCTGGACTGTGCTGTTGTGGTGTCCTGCCATGAACAGACGTGTGGAATACGTTAAATAATAACCACAAAATGAGATATTTAGAAAACAATACTATGATGTGCTGCCATATGGTTAGGAATATTTGCATGTATGTGTGTGTGTGTGTTTGTGGATGTTCATAAATATTTGCATATGTGGGGGAAAAAGCCTGAAAGAATATGAACTTGATATCATCATGAATTAGTTATATTGTGCTGGTGGTGCTATAGGGAACTTTGACTTTTATCATTTCTACAGGGATGATAATGGCTCATTTTAAAATATTTTAAGCATAAAATTATAACTCATAAATAACTTGGAGAAGTCAAGGAGGATGACAACTGAAAACATATATTCAATTGATTAAGAAGGAGGCTACCAATGACCTTATTGGCCACAGCTCTAGTAGAGTCCTGGGCTGGAAAGCCTGATTATGTGGAGTAAACAAAGAAGAATTTTGTTAATGTGTCAGATGAGAACAACAGATCTCTTGTGCCTTTTCCCTTTCCTAATGAGCCTATTGCAATGAATGACAAAACATAGTTAAGGCTATGTTGAACCAGGAAAACTATAGACGTATTTGGAGTAGGGAAGGAGGGAACATACAAAACTGAATTAAATCAGGAGGAGGAAAAATCTTCTGGTATCTTTAATTTAGGAGCTGGAAAGTGTTGCTTTCACCCCAAATCAGTCACTGATTTGTTGTAAAAATGTTTCACGTAAATATAAATTTACTTTCTTGGAGTAAGTTGTGAAGATATAGACACGATGGCTGAGGACTAGATGCAGGGAAACTGGGTCAGGTACATAAGCCCAGGAAAAGAAGTTTATTGCCTATGGTATACATTTGAATTGTATGGAATGGGCAACAAAATAATATCTTAAGATATTCATAAAACTTGGGGAAACAAATGCAAAAATGAAAGGTCAATGTAAGATTTGGGAGCAAGAATAGCCCTTTCCAACCAATGTTCTTTCCATGTTGTTTAGTATTTATTTGGAGGAAAGGTGTGTGGTGTGTGAGGGAAAGGTAAAGCCCTGCCATAGGGGAAGCTATCATTTCTCCTGCATGTGGAGCTCAGCTACAGGGGATCTCCCAACACTAGGCTTAGCCCAAACAAACAAACAAACAAATGAGCCCCACAGTGATTGGGCTTTGTCCTGCATAGAGTGCACTTAGTGGCCATCCACACCTCCTAGAGTAGGTGTCATTGCTCGCCCTGGTTTTTCCAAGTGTTCTTCCCAACCACATCACTCTCCCAGAAAGGAGTTCTATTATGTGTTTCACTTCATTTTGCTACCTATCCAACGATGTTTTGGAGTTCCTTTGTGATTCAGGGCAATTGCCTGGTTGTCTCATTTTTTAACCTGTCACTTTCTGAGGTGCAGAAGCAATCTAAAATTATTACTGTGAGAAATTATGGCTCAAATGTCAAATACACAGCTGTTACTGTCCCTGGAAGTGAGGAAGGCCCTGGTGAGAGAGACAAGGAAGTCTGAGACACAGGAGGAAATCACATTGTTAGTTCTCCTTGGTCTTCTTGGAGCCTTACACATACAAAATCAGGCAGCAATGTTTAGCTTGGGAAGGGAGAAGAGGTCCCAGAGGGTACGGTGGAGCCAGAGAAATGTGTGGAATGGGTGGGTTGGTCTCACCCATGGAGGTTTGCCAGGGTGAGTTCTCAGTGGTTAGAATGTGTCTCAGTGAACTTAAGGGCTGTGTTACACCAGATGGCTACTCCCACCCCTCTCTCTCTCTCTCTTTTTTTCTACTTGTTGCTTTTTTTGAGTCTCCACCCAGCCAGAAGCAAGTGCAGCTGAGTACAGTAGCAGCAGCCCTTCTACCACCCAAATCTGGGCCTTCTCTGACTGAACCCTAAGGGTGTTTCTGTGGAGGGAACACACCAGTGGATAATCTCAAAAGCACAGTATAGAACAGAAAGAAGCTTTCAAAATGATTTATACATTCCGGAAGGATAAAAACCCTGTGGGAGAGTAAAAATACTGAAATGTGCTCATGCATCAAAATGTTAGTCATGAAGTCAATATTCCTACCAGAGGAAAGAGAAAAATAAAGTGGAGGGGAAAACACAATTTGAAAGTGTAAAGGAAATGCCATTTGCAAGGGGAAGAAATTATTACAACAGCCATGGATGCCCACAAATATTTTGATCTTTATAAGCAAAATTTGATGCTGGAAACAGAATCTGTGTTAAAAAAATTAAAACATGCAGGTAGGCAAAACTTCTATAATTATGTTTTATGTGTAAAGGAATTACACAGTTAAAAAAAAAATAGTGACCTGCCTTTTTGGTAGAGTTTCCATCCCCTCCCTTCCTTTCCCTTATTTTCCTTCCCTTTCCTTTCTTTTTAAAACAAAATAGATCTGAGGAGCCAGGGAAGGAGGAGTCAACATCTTAAGAAGCTGATGATCATGAAAGCTATTTGAATAAATAAGAGAATAATAACTTCTTTTGTCTAGAAGCCTTCTCAGACCCAAAAGTGTCCATCTACCTTCTGGAGTCTGTGGAATCTCTGTGTGTTCGGTTTAGAATAATTGTGACTAATTTACAAAAGATCAGTACAATTCTAGGAAATCTGATTATCATTTGTCTGGAAAAATAAATGACAGACTCTTGATGTCTTTAAAAGTTTAGCCTTATTTGATTCTCAGCCTTATTAGATTATTGGGTCACTTACATTTCACGGGACTCTGGCTGAAGCACAGGGTGACAGTCACAGAGTCCCTTTGGCCCTTTTTGCTTTGGCTCTAGAAGAGCTGCCCCCTTAAATTCTGTGATTAGAAAGAGACTCTCAGAGGAGACGTTCTTCTGTCTAGCTCTGGTCTCCTGCATCAATTTGTCAAGAGACTTACCATGTCTCCCATGGGTCTGCACAGAGTCAGAATCCAGAAATGAGCTGGAGGATCTCATTACAAGCAGATCACACCAGGAATATTGAGCAAGCTTTGGTCTCACATGGCCTGCTACTTATTTTTCTTCAGGGGAAAAAATAGCTAAACTCAGTTGAAGACATGTTGTCACATGGCGCCATCTTTTCTTCTTTTGAACCTCTGTTAGTGTTTGGTCCTTGGTCAGTTACTATCAGTGAGAATGCACTCATATAAAAGTCAGATATAGTGTCTCTCTTTGTATATAGAAAGAGCTTACATCATTTCTCCTACTAGCAGAGGCCATGCTTTGGTTTGGTTAGGTAAGAATTAGTTTTGGGGGTAGGAACTGAAAATGGAGCATGAGTGCTCATTTTGATTTGTCAGAATATAAAAAGAAGTTAGGGCAGATGATTGAATTTGAGATCATCATCCTCCTCATCATTATAGCTGACAATCACTGAACACTTGCACTGGGACTGAGTGCCAGAACAGGGACTGACCAGGTGTTTTGTATGCATTGTCAGACTGAATCCTCATAGGATCCCCATAAGGATACTGAGAGAAGCTGCTGCAACAGCTGGAGCTCTAGATGAAGTATTTGTCTTTGGCATCCCACCCTCATAGATTATGGGCTTCAGTGAAATATGCCAATAACATTAGATTAGCTTTGCTTCTGGATCCTGTGGTTGTATGTGACATGATGCGGGTGCCTTTACCAGTGCCCAAATCTCTCAAGTTAAACTCAGAAAAGTGGCCACAGCCAGACAAAAATGAGATAGAAAATTCTGGAATACAAATTGGAGTTTAGTTTATATTATAATCAGCTATTTAGTCTTGACAAGACAAGAATTAAAGACAATTCAGGTCATGTTTCATTTTCTCTTCTTTCATTTGAATGGTCTTGGACACCTATTCTTTCTAAATAATGGAAAGTCTCATGAATACCTAAAAGGTCTCTACATTGCATTCCAAATGTGACTATACATTGATCCTATCCAGTGCAGATAAAATATTTTTTTAAAATTTCTACTTCAACTCAAGTCTTAGCTAAGGCATATCCCAAACTAAGAGGCCTCATTGCTTTAATCTCAGAGCTCCACCCAGAGTCTCCAACACAAAACTCACAGAAAACTACCTGCAAGCCTTCTCATCCAGGAAAATTATTTATGGACTTCAGTTAAAACCAGTCCTGAAGCTATGTGGCTAAATGCTCTTACCTGTTTTTCTATAGCAAAAAATAAGAATCAGATCTTTACTTGCGTAAGATAGAGTCAAAAATTGCTTTTCTTATTAGAGATGACTCCTGGTTTTAGCAACTCATTGTACATCTTATGTACTACTTGTTTCCTAGTATCTACCAGCCTTAGTGGCAAGTATGAGAAAGGGGATGATTATCTCTGTAATTGTTAAATCACTACACAACTATGTTCCTGGATTGTTGCGCCTCCAAATCCTTCCATTTTCTTTATAGATTCTGAATTATTCAAGTAGTTTCCTCTGTGACTTTTGCTGCTTTCTTTGTTGTGACAACAACTATATCTGAGAAAAATGCCAAGGTGACGTTACCAGAAATTCCATCTTTATTAGTCCGTTCTCATGCTGCTATAAAGAACTGCCCAAGAGTGGGTAATGTATAAAGGAGAGAGATTTAATTGACTCACAGTTCCACAGTGCTGGGGAGGCTTCAGGAAACTTACAAT